TTTTTTTTTTTAAATTTCGGTAATTTTTCCTCCAATATAGTAAAAAATAAAACCCCCAGTGGTGAATAAATACCACCAAAAGAAAGCTCTATCTGTCCCCAAAAAAGGGTATAAAATTAATTTCAGTACAGCGCTGCATGACGGAATAAATGTCAGTTAAAGTACCGCAGCGCTGAATACTGAAAAATGGCCTGGATGGGAAGGGGGTTTAACACCGCGGATGTCAACTGGTTAATTTAAAATCTTAATGTTTTGATTGCACTGGTATATCCCTGGAATGAAACTATTCCAGTAAGGCCCCGTTCACACTGAGCGATTTTATCACGGATATCGCGGCTATTTACCAATATCGCTCTCCAATGCTTGGCAATGGGGCAAAGGGTCCTGCTGTCGCGGGTCGTGTGTCGCTACAGCAGAACCCTTTTTGGAGCGGCTTTTGCCGCAATTCAATGTTTTTCAATGCAAGCATTTGCGCGATATCGCGCAAATTGCGTGACAAACGCGCGATTTGCAAATCGACAAGTGTGAATGGGGCCTTAAGTAAAGCAAGGCTGTAAGATCAAGAAAATCTGCATCATGTGGTCAGTCACTTGGTGTGTGTGATTTGAGCTGTAACTATGTCACGTTTACACCATTCTGAACACAACTGCAAATATTCCAACATTTAATCTGAAAAGAATTGCCCCCAATGCCGGTTATTTAAAGTGAACCAGTTGCATGCCTAATGCAGTAGCTTTCACCATAATACGTGCTCAATGCTTGGTGCACTCCTATCACAACTTTAATACACGTCTGCTAGAAGTTGCCATTTGTCTAACTTGCTGGTTCCAAGGCTGTCGCCTCATTTTGAACAGGTGCTTAGCTGCTCTGGCGTTAGCTTGTGAGTTGGACCGTGACAGCCTCCATCAGAAAGGTGCTTGACTTGATGACAGGTGGGGCTTATGTGCCTTTTACTTTAGAGGTCATTTTGATTATAAATGTACATGTGCTAGGGGCATCCAAGTGCTGTATTCACTTAACTGACTCCATAGTGACCTATGACAAGTGCATCCAAACGCAATTCAAAAGCTGTGCTAGTGTGCGAGATCCCAAATGCTCCTTTCACCCATATATTGTCTATAAAACATAGCTGAGCACTGCCACTCAGTGGCTGTATTTTAGAACTGTAGTTACATTCTCTTCCAAGGGAAGGGAAACCTAAAGTGAGGTAGTCATGCCAATTTCCCATTTTGAAAGTGCTAGTTGCATGGCGGTCATGTTGCTTCAAATGCTCTGCTACTGTTAGTTACTAACTCATGACAAGCATTAGAATTAGGACTTCTGCCTTCACTTGCTGCATTCTAGTTCCATGTCAATGACTCAGAAAATATTGATCTAATACAACAGAAGAACCAGCGCTACTGAGTGTGCAGACAGTAAATGTAAAAATTTGTAAATTGTAAACAAATCATCCCTTAGGCTGAGTTCACACCTAGGCGTATCGAATATGCGCGTTTGTCGCGCGTTGCGTGTCTTTACCGCGATTCACGGTAAAAAAAACGGGAGACAAACGCGCGTTTCTGAGGGCTACCTGGCTGTATCCCAATGGATACGTGCTGCAAATACGCCCCAAAGAAGCTCCTGTACTTCTTTGGACGTAGGGCGTTTTGTAGCGCGTTCATACGGCCTGTAATACGCCCGGGTGTGAACCATACCCATAGGAAATAATGGGATTTCGGTGTTTGAGCGTTTTGCAGAGCGTAGGAACGCGCTACAAAATGCCCAGGTGTGAACCGGGCCTTAGCCCAAAAAAATCATACCCTGCACTACTAAATCAAAACATATTAAATAAAAAAGCTACTTTATTGTACGATGCAGATAATGGTAAAAGCACAGGAATCTGCCCAATAAACAGAAACTTTTTTTTGCATGCTGGATGGCGAGTATGCTGGGAAACTTTTTGCTGTTCTTTCACTAATCGGTCACGTTTGCCGATATGAAGAGACACCACCTTCCTTCTTACTTGCAGGTTTAATTCTGATAGAGGATTGTTAAGAGATGGGATAAGACATGATATATTAATTCAAGCTAGATTATATATTTTTGCTATTGATGTTGCCCATCTCTAAATCTGAAATTACATTTTGATGACACTCAAACTGTGACGCGGGTCATTCCAGCTCACGTGTTCCCCAGCTGGTTAATTTGAAAGTACCGCAGTCTGATGAAGTGGTCTTTTGGACCTGTTTGCAAGTGTTTTAACACTTTTGTATGCGCTATAGCTCTAGATGGAGACTCATAGGTTTAGTGTTAGGACCGCACTATATAGAGTCTCCATCTTGGAGCACATGTAGCAAAAGAGGGCCTGTGCCTTTTAAAGGGAGTGTGGCTGCCTCCTGGCAAACCTGCACCCAATTGTATCTTTTGCTACATGTGATTCAAGATGGAGACTCTCCTAGGTTAGAGTTAGGACCGCACTATACACAGGTGCTCTGGCGAGGCGGTGCATCATTCACATTTTCTGCAGAAGACGTGTATCTAAACCTGTTTTTAACCTTAGTGGTAGACAAGTTTTTTTTCTTGCATGCTGGCTGGTGAGTGTGCTGGGAAACTTTTTGCTGTTTGTACTGTATTAGGCCCTTCCATGTGCCCTTTGCTGTAAAGCTGGTGATGAGTTGATGAGTGTGTCTGCCATTTATTTTGCTTGACAGATTAGTGAAAGATGTCTCCATAGCAGGATCCATGTCTCTAGTTTTTCAGCATATTTCTGTTCTTTTACCACCTAATTTTCTGTATTGTTTAATAAAGTCACTCTATCTTTTAATAACTTTTTTGATTTAGCGATATATTTCATGGCTCAGTTTTAGGATTTCAGAAAATATTGATGTCGTTTTTAATGGTCAGGCAACTAGCATTTTTAGAAGGTCAACTTACACACAGTGGTGTGAATGTAGCCTTAGTCCTGACGGCTTCTGATTTTAGTATTGGCCCTCATTCACACGACTAACAGCCGGCCCGTACAGATCCGTATCGGGCTGCTCCCGGGAAGGACAGGTGCTGCGTGTGATTTTGTACATGGCAGCCTGTTCTCTATGGGAGTACACGACCGTACGCTCACACGAGCTGCACTTCCTTGCGGGTGGCTGTACTCTTACGCAGACGGGTATGGATCTTGTCTGCGTCCGAGTAAGGAGACCCACACGGATGTGCAGTTTGGGTGAGCGTACGGTCGTGTACTTCCATAGAGAAGAACAGGCTGCCATGTACAAATCACACGCAGCACCTGTCCTTCCCGGGAGCAGCCCGATACGGCTGTGCACGCAGCACTGAACTCTCCGGGCACTTGTGCACCACTCATTAATTATGTTATGCATTCTTTAAAAAAAATATTGAATCCTATCCATGTATTTTTCGATGCATGTAAGAACTAGAATTTTTTGTCTTGATATCGGACTCCAGTATTCCCCCTTTTTACAGCAGTATTTAACCTTGGAGAGGGAGGACCAGCATCAGGGGCCAGTTACACATGTTGACAGGAGCGAGCAGAGAGAGGTCTATCATTGTGTTGCTTCTCCTTTGTCCAGTCAGCATGTGTGCCCAGGTTGTGCTTTAGCTGCAGTGGAAGTCTTAGACCTGGCTGTGATGTCTGACAATGGTGGCTGGATCAAAAGACTTGCTGTATAGAATTACAAACTCTTTATTCGGTAAAGGAGCTTCCTTTAAATATTTTAATTGCAACTGTGTATTTAGCAGTTTGCTCAGTCATAAACTTGAAGACTCTATTCTGTAGTCATGTGAAAAAGTAAGTACACCATGGACGTTTTCAGCATATGTGAACAGGCAGGCATTAGATCTTTATTCATACAGTGCCTACAGATTGAGGTGATGAACTTGAATGAGAACACAGGGAAAATGTATCTTTTTCAATTTAACGAAAATATCAATAGATGTAATGGTGCACTGTGGAAATAAAGTAAATACAGCCTTGGCATTAAACGCAGGTATTACCCCCTGTACCTGTAGGGACTTGCTGTAGGCATTTTGTATAACAGCCCACTGATCTTTTTGACATGGACCTTCCAAGCAAAATTCCTTTAGTTTAGGTTAGTAGGTATCCTTGCATGAACTGCTTGTTTGAATTCCATTGAAATTTTGGAGCGGGTTTTAATCTGGGTTTTGTCTAGGGTCGTTCAGCAAATCCACCAAGGAACGGGTCACAAAGAAGAAGCAGGGATTATAGTCAATGGATCATTTATCGTGTTGAAAGACTTCTTTTCCAGTGTAACTTCAACTTTTGGACAGATGGCTTTACATTCTTATCAAATACATTTTTTGATAGGATAACTGGATGAGTGCAGGCTGCTAAGGCCCTAAACCCACAAAGCTAACCCACACCATAACCTTTTCACAGTTAAATGCATGCCACTTCCAGATTATTGTCCTTACAGTGGAATGATTGATTTTAAATCCCTTGCTGGACTTGTAGGCATCAATTTTTTTCTTTCTGAGGCCCTTGGAGATCTCTATTGATCTTGACATGACACCACAAATGTCTGGAAACACCAGCCCCTAGATGTCTGAAGTTTAAATAAGACTGGTCCCACCTTCTTACTCCCTAAGGAGGTTCTATTCATTGGTTTAGGATTTCTTTTTTCATATGACAAAACTAAATTAACAAAATGATGCAGTCCGTGAAAATGAATACACAATTAATTGCAATGTGCCATTTTTGTTTGGGTATATCCCCTTTTTTATCTTGGTGGTGCTGTTTAGACTGAAAGATCTTGTGTTTTGCCTGTTCAAATACGGTGAAAAGTCAACAAATGCCATGGGATGTAGTTGCGTATTCACATGACTGCATATTCTAGGTTCTATTTAGTACTAATGAGCTGTTATGTGCATTTAGGTTACAGTAGTTACATTATTTTCTTCTCATTGTCTTACAGCTGTGGAATGCGCAGCAGATCAGAATGGCATGTTGGTGCCCATCGTGGTTGGTGCTGCCCTTGCTGGACTCGTCTTGATTGTGCTGATTGCATATCTCATTGGAAGAAAGAGAAGTCACGCTGGATATCAAACCATATAATTGAAGTATTTTCCATTTGATGTAAATTTTTACCACTAGCTCTATACGGAATTGCAATGAGCCAACATTCTTAATTAGGGTTTCATTTGTTCAAGCAAGATTTCATGCAAACCGCTTCATAAGATATTTTGGTGTTTTTAATGTGAACTGCCATCAGAAAGCATATATTTACTATGCACAACAGATCTGGTCATGAAATAGACAGAGGGGGAGGGGGGAGGGAGGATTTCTTAATGAAGTAGGAACATCTTTAAGTGCTTTAAAATGATAATAAAGGTATTTTCACTTGCGAACGCACTAGAATACGTAGGGTTCAGTAACCGTTAACTTAAAAAAAAAAAGGGAATGCTTTCAATACTACGGTTACTAAACATTGCAGGGCGCTCTGCATCAAAATGGAAATGAGCTGCATACAATACTATGGCTACTAAATATTGCAGGGCGCTCTGCATCAAAATGCAAACGAGTTGCATACATCTAGAGTAACAGGTTGTGGTGTTTTCTTTGGGTTTCAGTGATCCTACCTTTCTCATACACAGCTAGAAACCAGAGTCAATCATGTGCTCATGCAGGGCATTAACAATGCACTATTTTAATGATCCTAAGTCTTGTTTGCTGTTCTGGATGCTCTGCTTTTTCAGAGCTGTTAATTTTCTAAAAACTTTAAACTGGGTGTGTTGTTTTTTTCCCCCCCTGAAACATTGTCTTTTTAGTTTTGAATTTAAAAGATGGAACGGTATTTTTCTGCACATGTGTACGGTATAGATATGTATATGCGGATTGCCTAGCTTGATGCTTGGTTGGGGTTGTACACTGCAAGAAATGTTTGCATTGCCTTAACAATGCTAATAAAAATGTTTTTTTTTTTTCTTTAATCGTTCTTCTTTCTTTAGCAATAGTTTGTATACATACTTGCACATATTAGGCCTTTTATGTCTTAATAATAATAACAGATGGTGTATAGAAACCTTCTCTACAGTCAGCAATCACTAGGTGTGGTTAATCGGAAGGATTTGTGCTGGGAGAGAGTGGTACGTGCATGTTCTGTTTAAGTGCTGCCTAATGCAATTGAACATACCTCCTGAGAACCTAGTCTGTGTGGACAGTATGGCAACTTGCTTAAGTGGCAGAATCCACAGACATTGTCATCTCACCAAGAAGACTCTGCGTAAAATCCATTGTAGTTTATTCCAGACTTTTCTTGGCATCATGGGACTATAAGGCTTTTAACTCTTCAATCCATGAGGGTGACTATGAAAGTAAGAGGAAGCAGGGACTGTTTTACAGGGGACTATACTATGTAACACTAACAAGAAGGGGATAAACAATGGTATGTACCAAGGCACAAAATGCAGCAATAAATGGGGTGCTGTGTCAGCACGGTATGGGAACACTTCCCACTTGTACCATACTTGTATTAGTAACCTACTGTTTTCACATAAACTGGGCCTGATCTGTCAATTGTGCTGCCCATAGAAACCTTACCTGGGCTACTTACCATGGGTACTATGAACAGATGAGACTGGGTTTAAATGGCAGTATTCTAGGTTTCTAATAAAAGTGGAAAACCTCTGGTCCCTTGCCACCTCTTTCAACTGCTGGAAGCTTAGTGCTGCTCATAGTTTTCAGCAGCAGTTTATCGTAGCAAATGTTTTCAGCTTGGCTTTTATTTTCTCACTACTGAACTGTCATGCTTGCTACATTCCTGCAGTTTACAGTAGGGCTGCAACAACTAATCGACATAATCGATTATAATCGATTATTGAAAAAGTTGTCAACTTTTTCAATCGATTAATCGGCTTCTGATTGGTTGGCCCTGTTCGGCTCCACACACGCTGCGCGCCACACCTCCTCCCCACCTCACGCTCGCCGCTGCCAGACCTGCCCGCATCCACGCTCCGCACCTCTTCCGTGCCTCACAGTACACATTCTGAATGTGCCTGAAGGTTGGTTCGAACCATGCAGTAACCTTTCTCTGGGCCCCATTCAATTATGTTACATCGGTTTACTGATTCTGTGTATGGTCTGGAGTTGCTCTGAGCCAGTACCCAAGTTAGGGTAACCAGAGGGCAATCTGATCATTCAATGAGCAGATCCATGTACTGGTTTTTAAAGCAGAACAATATTTGAGCATTAGCTGGGTACTAATGTACCTCTGCTGTGTACCAACCATGCCTCCTAGTTCATTCTGGAAAACTGTCTGCCACTAAACTTACAGTTGGGGCTGGAACAGCGCGATCACAGCAAGTTACTTGTGCTGCAGTTCCTCCATTCATAAAATGTCTTCAACTAATATAAAGCATTTTGTGATTTTTAGATCAAGGAAAACTGAGGTACATATGCTCCTTTGTCCAATCACAGAATGCCTTATATTCTTTAATACATGTTGTTTTATGAATGAAGGAACTGCAAAACGATAATTTTACTGTGATACAGCCCTGATTGAGTTTCAGTGGCAAATTACTATCAACACTTTAGATCATGTTGAATGAAACTGTCAAGAGATTAACATATCTTACTATTAGGTGCCTAGAAGCTGGTTGAAATTGCCACGTTTAGCCAGCCTTGTATTCAAAAAGCATATAAAATGTGTTTTAGCTAAAGGAATAATTTGTTCACTATTTGCAGGGGCAAAACAGTGTTTAGTTCCACCATATAAGCTTAGTGTAGGAAAACAGTGGAGAAATTACTCCCATAAAGTTCCTCTTTCTGCTGTGTATATCTTAGGTGCATACAATTGACTGGTGGCCATGCTTTAGATGACAGTGCCTGGACCCAGGGGAGTGATTCCCACACCTACAGGTATTTCAGGATCTGTACTGTAGGAGGGGGGGGGGATGCTAAATGTGGACCACCTTGCCTCCAGATTGAACAACAAACTGGACACTTGTCTCCAGGTATAGGTATCAGGGGGAATAAAGACGTGGCTCCAGTACACCCTAATCTACATTCCCTGAAATGTTTTCCTTGGCTTCTTTGCAGGTTTGAAAAGGAGGACATTATGTGGAAACGGCCAGATCATCAGGCTTTTCTTCACCAGGGGCTAATTTACCACCCTACATGACCATAATGACATAGTTGTTGAAGCTCAGGTTTTGTGAGCTAGGGGCATCTGAGTGTGATTTCTATAATGCAAAAAGTTAGAACTTGACAGAGGTAGAGTTTCTATCACAGGAAATAGAAGGCATACTTTACGCTCAATGCTTTTAAAGTGCCACTAAACTCAGGATAAATCTTAAAAGCATTCAAGCACCCTAACCATTAACAAAACTGTAGCTTATTTGTGTATCACTCAGCTGTAGATCCTCAAATCATCTCTGAATTCATGCTGACACTGTCCTTCCTTCTGGAGGGTGACTACTTTTGTTTTCCATGGTCCCTGTGTGTGTTGTAAAGTGGACACCGCTCCAAGCTCGCTCCTGTGATGAACTACAATCTCATGTTTTAGTCCACTAATTTGTACTGAGATTGTAGTCCACCATAGTTTGTGAAATTGTAGTCCACCATAGTTTATTCACAATAGAAAACATTAAATGTTAAATGGAGAAAATGTATAATTTTAAGAAGAAAAAAAGTCATTTTGAAATCAGCAGCAACATGTATCTAAAAAGTTGGAACAGGGCCATGCTTACCACTGGCCTGATATAGGATTTTAACTGCTCAACAGTCCTGGGTTGTCTTTGTCCGATTTTCTGTTTAACTACCTCCCGGCCAGCCGCTGTGTATACACGGCCTGCCGGGAGCTTCTTGGATGTAACTGGGCGTGTATACACGTCCTGTTACATCCGCCCGCTCGGGCGCGCGGCGCGCGCGCGCGGGAAATCCCCGCTATTTGAAAAGAGGCAGCGATGCCCGTTAATATACAAGCGATCCGCCGGCTATAGAGCCGGCGGATCGTTTGTATGAAGCCCCGAGACGTGCGCCCCCCCTCCCAAGCTGGTCCCGGGCTCCGGTGTGAGCCCGGGACCAGCATAGTGCCTCTGTCACAGGGGATCAGCCAAATATTTTCAATTGGTGAAAGGTCATGACTGCAGGCCAGCCAATTAAGCACCCGACTCTTAATGCTATTAAGCCATGCTATTGTCAGATCCAGTATAGCATTGTCCTGCTGAAAAAGATGTCTGGATGGGATCATATGCTACTATAAAACCTGGATATATCTTTCAGCATTGATGGTGCTTTTCCACATGTGCAAGCTGCCCATGCCATACGCACTAATGCATCCCCATACAATCAGAGATGCACGCTTTTGAACTGCTGATAAGAGGGGGAACCTTCTGGCTTAAGTTTGGAGGATGCGGTGGCCATGGTTGCCAAAAATTTCAAATTTTGATTGGTCTGACCACAGAACAGTTTTCCACTTTGCGAAAGACCATTTTAAATGAGCTTTGGCCCAGAGAAGATGATGGCGTTTCTGGATCATGTTCAGATATGGCTTCTTCTTTGCATGATAGAGTTTTAACTTTTTTAATGGCATGGCTAACTGAGTTCACAGACAGTGATTTTTGGAGGTATTTATGAGCCCATTTAGTGGTGTACATCACAGAACCATACCTGTTTTTAATGCAGTGCTGTCTTACAGCCCCAAGATCCCGGACATCCAATATTGCGTTTTGGCCTTGCACACAGACATTCTCAGAATCTTGATACGTGTTTTTACACATTTTGGGATTGGGTTTGTAAATTAATTGTTTGATTTATACATGCCTAGCATCCAGTTTCAAAAAGACATATATAGAAATAATTTCAACAATCCTCACCGAAATAAATATTTTATTACAAGGATTTGACTGGTATTGTATATAATATACATTTATTTCACAGAATCAGCTGTAAGTTTACAAGTGATCACACACAAAAAAAAACTGGTCAAGTCTACCAGTACAGTACAAAACAAGTGATTAAAGCACTTAGACAGGTCTAAGACCTGTGCTAACAGTCAGTGTCATTTGTTAACCCCTCACTGCCAGGATTTCACCTTGCTATATACAGCATATTGTACTCCACCACATAGGGAGGGGATAATCTGTGCAAACATTATATTGAAGGAATGCATTGATCAGAATTGTCCAATCTGCCATTATTCCTGAGTTAGTAACTGTGATCGGTGTTTCTCTCGTAGCTTGTTTATCGTAGTTCTCGATAAACTTCCTGGCTCAACAAAGATTTTCTGCAGCAAAAAAAAAAATTATCAAGCATAAATAAACCACTGAGAAAAAAAAAAAGCAACCTATAATTTTCTAAGGCTTAATAATTCTGATAAAAATACTTCTTCAAAATATCTTCCTTGTAAGCATGGCAACACTCTCCTAGCCTTACTGGCTCCTCAAGCAGGAGGGGTGCTAAAAGCACAAGGGGCATTTTCTGACTCCATAGCCACAGCAGAAATAGGCACACTCCATTGAATCCAACAATTTAAAGATTTACCCAACCAGAGGCGTACACATTCCCCACCCCGCCCTCAACTCCTCCCTCTCCAAGAGGTTTTACCCATGATGGCATGTATAACTTTAGGTTAGTTTAATGGTACCAATTTTATCATGCCAAAAACCAATGTAGTCTTTCTTAGCAGCCCTGCAGATCAGCTGCACACTCTGCACATCAGCACTCCCACCCTGCAACATCCCTGAAGCCTCTGTACTATCTACTTCAACAATTCGGATTCAAGATAGGTCTTTATTAGCAGCCCTGCAGATCAGCTGCACATCAGCACTCCCACCCTGCAACAATTCGGATTCAAGGTGAATGGAAAACAAGATAAACATCAAGCTTTCAAACTTGACTTCTACAAGTCCACTATCCTTAATGTCACTATATTGTATGTACTATTCTCTTCTCTAAATCTCATCTTCTCTGATCTTTTAGGTGATAGCTTTATTTAGATACCTACTTCATGTCTTTCTAACCTTGACTCAACTCATGCTAATTTGCCCCTGACCCCTTATTTGTACTTTGAAAAAGAAGGGGGGAAAAAAATAAACAACCTCGACAGTTGTTTTTTGTTTTTTTTTCTTTTCTCTCCAACTTTCTTTTCCTAACCTCTACAAACAGATAGTCTTTCTTAGCAGCCCTGCAGATCAGCACATGAGCGACTGTGGCGTCTGGCAGCTTTGTACAGGGTAAAGTCTTGCAAACAAACTTATTTTGTCACTCTCTAACACACTCTCATCCAGACCATGCCAACTCTTTTCTACCTTCAAGTCTCTGCTATGTCGTCGTCCTCCACCACCACCACCACCACCCACTCACTCACTGCCCAGAACATTGCCACTCATTTCAAAAACAAAATAGATACAATTCGGGATCAGATCGCCACTGTCCAATCAACTTCCCCTGTTAATGTACCAGACCCTCCATCACACTTGTTACTTTCCTCTTTTTACCCTGTCACCACAGAGGAAGTTACAAAGCTCTTTGACACCCACCTCACCACTTGCCCCCCTGGACCCTGTTCCCCCAAAACTACTTCGGTCACCCTCTTGCTCTATCCTACACTCTTACTCACATTTTCAATCTTTCCCTCTCTACTGGAATCTTTCCTACCCCTCTCAAACATGCACTAGTCACCCCAATACCCAAAAAATCTTCACTAGACCCTACCAACCTCAATAATTTCAGACCAATCTCCTTACTCCCATTCACCTCTAAACTACTAGAACGCCTTATCTACAACCGCCTGAGTTGCCACCTCACTGATAACCTTTTGGACCCCTTTCAGTCCGTCTTTCGCCCCTAAACACTCCACTGAAACCGCCCTCCTAAAACTCACCAATGACCTAATAACAGCTAAAAACAATGGCCACTATTCCTTACTCTTGCTATTAGACCTTTCTGCTGCTTTTTGACACTGTTGACCACCCGCTGCTCCTCAAAAAACTCCACTCGCTTGGCCTACAAGACTGCTCTCTCGTGGTTCTCCTCCTACTTATCTATGCGCTCCTTCAGTGTCACCTACAATTCAAACTCCTCCCCTCTTCCTGTAGGGGTTCCCCAAGGCTCTGTCTTAGGACCCCTTCTCTATCTACACCTCCTCCCTTGGTCAACTAATAACCTCACATGGCTTCCAATACCATCTCTATGCCGATGACACTCAAATTTATCTTTCCACTCCACAACCCTCCCCCTTAGTGTCCTTGCGTGTCACTAATCTACTAACTGACATATCTGTCTGGATGTCACAACATTTCTTAAAACTCAATCTTTCAAAAACTGAGCTCTTGATATTTCCTCCACCCTGTGCACCTTCCCCCAACATTTCAGTTGTGATTGATAACACAACTATCCAACCCTCCACTCATGCCAAGGTCCTAGGTGTCATCCTTGACTCGGACCTCACCTTTCTTCCCCACATCCAATCACTATCCAAATCCTGCCGCCTTCACCTTCGTAACATCTCCAAAATATGCCCCTTCCTCACCAATGACACCGCAAAACTACTCATACACTCCCTTGTTATCTCTCGTCTTGACTATTGTAACTCCCTCCTCGTTGGCCTTCCACTACACAGGCTATCCCCCCCTACAGTCTATCATGAATGCAGCTGCCAGACTCATCCACCTAACCAACCGCTCAGTGTCTGCATCCCCCCTCTGCCAATCCCTACACTGGCTTCCACTCGCCCAGAGGATAAAATTGAAAATATTAACAGTCATTTATAAAGCCATCCACAACTCTGCCCCCGGATATATCTCAGACCTTGTCTCAAAATATCACCCTAACCGTCCACTCCGCTTTTCCCTAGACCTCCTTTTTTCCAGCTCCCTAGTCAACCCTCCCATACTCGCCTCCAGGACTTCTCTAGTCCCTCCCATCCTCTGGAACTCTTTACCCCAACCTGTCCGTCTATCTCTGACCCTGACTGTCTTTAGGCGTTCCCTAAAGACTCATCTCTTCAGGAAAGCCTATCCCACCTCAAACTAACCACTGAACCATCACATTCTCAAACAATTCATCCCCACACAGCTACCTCCTCATGTATCATTTCCCCCTCCCTTTTAGATTGTAAGCCCTCGGGGCAGGGCCCTCCTTACCATCTTGTCTTGAATTGTATTGTAATTGTAATGTCTTCCTTATATTGTAAAGCGCTGCGCAAACTGTTGGCGCTTTATAAATCCTGTATAATAATAATAATGTATACTATCGATGGACAGCTTTTTTCTATAGATACCTTTGCTTAAAAGGAGAACTATGAGTGCTTTTCACTCACCTCATAGTTCTAGCCGACCTGTATAAAGCAAAGAGCAGCAAATCACAACAAATCAGAAATCATCAGTCATTCGTCTGAACACACAAAACTGGTTGTGTCTTTTGGACCAAGACATTTAGTCTCCAGATTTGATGAATTCCTCTCATTGTACATTACATACTGCTGACCAAAGTGTTTATTGTCTCAACAGTTTCTGGCTGCCAAGTAGTTTGTGAGTATTTTAATGAAGTTCTTCTTTAAAAAGGTAGGCTTTAAAGCCGTGACACCATGTTCAGTGGGTCGCCACATGTCTTCCACTGCACTAGGTGAGAAGCTCCTCACCGAGCGCCGAGTGTCAGCTTGAGGTGGGTGAGCCGGGGGGTATGGCCACGAAGGAGTTCCATCCATACTTTCATTGCTTATAGCTCCCTTGCGTAACCGGAGTGACGTCACATTCTGGCTCCCAGAACGTCTATAGGGAGTTCAAGGGAGCTGTACAAGCAATGCACATATGGATGGAGCTTTGTCACAGCAGATTACCCTGAACCACTAAAAAAACAAAACTATTGGAGTGTGTCTATGTATGTAAGAATGTTTGTGTGTGTCAAACTAGCACGTGTTCTGGTGCAGGAGGTGTGCTGCACTGCCATTCATTTGAATGGCACCTCCAAAACACACCTCCCTCCCACAGTTCGACCGCTTGCACCAGAACATGCGGTACCACAATGCCGTGAGTTCCAGGGCGGTGCGACAACTTGGGTCGTGACTTAATGACCAATGCGAGTCCTGAAGTTATACAGGTGGAGAACCACTGCTTTAAAGCATATGGAATACATTTAATTTAAAAAAAAAAACATTGTGCTGGTTTCAGAAGTGTCCATTAGACTACCAGTTGTTGCACACTAATTAAACCCTATTTTGTGGCATTTTTTTTTGGGGGGGGGGGGGTTTAA